CCTAGAAAGAGGAGAACGGTTCACATTGAACAATTGAAGCTCCCAATGATAGAACCGGAACATAAACTAACGGATTCGTAGTACCCTCACCACGTTATAACAAATATGTTTTTTTTGGTTGTCTAAGCAAAAATATGGTGTATTTTTTTTTATGTGTAAATAGAATCATAGCAATACAGTAGAGGAAAGTGTATTATTTTTTTTTTTCTTCTTCTCTGTTTTTTTTAGGATTTTAAGAGTTCTGTTTTTGGAAGCAAGTGTTGTGTTTAGTTCTGTTTTTTTTATTTCTTTGTATTATTGTATGTCTCGAGTGAGTTTTACTTTCTTTCAACTTTATACTTGTAAAAACAATTGTAAGGTGTTAAGACTGATAATCGTTAGCTCCGATCTAGGAATATCTAAGTTTCCGAAAAATCCTGTTCGTAAACTGGTGGGGGGGAGATAAAGACCGGAGACCGGCGATATCAGCCTTAATACCGTCCTGAATGTAAATAAACATATGAAATGTATATAAGGAGGATTACTAAAGGAATAAATCAGTATCTTTTCTGAAACCGTGAGTGTTGCATTTCAAGCCCTTTCCTTTCTTTTTTTTTATTGTTAGAGTCCGCCGACGCTTAACTTATATATATATATATATATATATATATATATATATATATATATATATATATATATATATATATATATAAACAGTATTAACAATTGAAGATTAGTCATCTATCGAATGCCAAGAGCCTAAAACTCAGACTAAATTAATGAATCATAAGAATTAATTGTCTTCATTAATGTTTTTGTCACTCAGCCCGCTTTTTAGGCTGACGCTGATGGCATTCAGCTTGTCTAAAACTGTCTAACTCTTTATTAATTATTCCTTAACAAAAAATGTAAAATAAAAAATGTTGATATTTATATATATATATATGTATGTATGTATATCTTTACAACTTTTTCTTCATCGACCTTTGAGTATTAAATTCAAACTTCACTATTTTATTGGGAATAAGGTCACTTAATTATTATTTAATAAACTAATTAATGTTCATTTCTTCTGTTTATTGACATTTCGATCCCGGTATTTTCTTTTTATTAGTCAACCATGGGATCCTCTTCAAAGCTGGAATTTAAAAAAATAGAGCTTCGATCAGGCCAGGGACACACCGACAGCCTCAGCACCGTCCACTAGCACATATATTAAGCTACTCTTTATTATACACTACTATTAAGAGTAGCTTAATATATGTGCTAGTGGACGGTGCTGAGGCTGTCGGTGTGTCCCTGGCCTGATCGAAGCTCTATTTTTTTTAAATTCTAGCTTTGAAGAGGATCCCATGGTTGACTATTAAAAAGAAGATACCGGGATCGAAACGTCAATAAACAGAAGAAATGGACATTAATTAGTTTATTAAATAATAATTAAGTGACCTTATTCCCAATAAAATAGTGAAGTTTGAATATATATGTATATATATATCTTTATATACCCAATATCAGTAAACACATTTATTCATATTTCTAGAAGTGGTACAGAAAGTAATGTGACATAACTATTGGGAAATGACAAGCCGCTTTGTAATAATTTACAACATTTTCATGCTGTTACTACAAATTTTAAGTTAACTTAAAAATATTGAAATATATTTGTCATAAATATTACACTGTATTCCAAGCTTGGAACCTTCGAACTTATATTATGATAATAGTGCCTTAGGTAATCATTGGTTTTTATTATTATTAGAAAGATTATTCTATTCATTACCTCCTGTATAATTCTAGATCTATCAGCTTAGGTCTATTGACTTTCATATCTACCCACACTTACCATATTATGAGAACATGTATCGAGTTCTTTTGACACGTCTTATCTAGATCGATGCAGACCCAATGGTCAGTGCCTATATATTTGTAGCAAAATATTATTATTTGTCTAATTTATAACTAGGCACAATGACTACGTATCCACCATCTTCAGGATATTAAGACAAACTCAAAATTATAATTAAACGTCAATAATACTTTACAGTAGAGGCAAAAAAGTATATACATATGCTTGTAAATATGATAAAATAATAATTTTTTAAAAAAAGTATGAATTACGAATTAGACATTTGATTATCGTTACCATACTATACATCGAAATAAAAAACTAAAAAAACTTTTGCGACATCATGTTAAAATGTTCTAAATATGACCGTTAAAAATAAAATATTTTTCTACATTCCTACAATAGTAGGAGAAAGTTTTGAATCTGAATTATCAACAGAAATACGTAATTTTTCCATTCCAGAGTTAATTGTGTGACCACATTGTTAATGTCGTAAATATTGTTCACTGAACTTTTGGTACTTCTTCCGTTTATTATAGAGTACACAACTAAGCAATGTTTTGGTTTGTGCAGTTAGCTTGAAGTACAAACGTATGATTACTTCTAAAGTTACTAATTGTTGGTTGTTGTTAATAAAAGTTGGATTTGATTTCAGGTTAATAGTTAATAAAGGAAGAATATGGTCCGGGGTTGCGGTCATAAATAGGCTAAATAATGGTAAAACTATTTTATTGATAGCCGAAGTTTCGACCCGACTTCGCAGGTCTTCATCAGGGCTAGAACGGATAAGATACAAAAAGATAGAGAATTGTGGCAGTTACATAATAATTTGACATACTTTATAAACAATGTGAATAAACTTATTAAAATTATAAACAAGTTAATAGTTAATATTTCACAAAATGTATTATTTTCACATTTTGTTTACTTTGAAACTGAATGCAAGTCCATTTGAAGAAATGGACTCACTAAATACGCTATTGATAACGATGCACTTTGTTATCTTTAGTTTGTCTGATATTTTTTCCCCTTCTTAACTGACTCGACTGCTTGATCCAATTTAGGTTAATGATGTCGCATTTTCTAGGTTGGATTGATAAGGTTTTATTTATATTTATTTTAGGTAAAGTTTATTCCTCTCACTCGGTCATTTTTATCAATTCTTTAAAAACAAACTCTTTTTATCAAATTATTAATTTCAGTCAGAATCCTCATAAATATCTCCATCTTATCGTAACATAAAGCTACGAAATTTCTCAAAAAGAGGAGTTTTTTTTTAAATTGATTTAGTAAATTTAATGAAGTACTTGAAACTCATGATTACCGAATAGCTTTCCTATTGAATAGTAAGTTAATCAAACATTTTCATAGTATTAATAAGTATTTTGAAAATATTTTTTAAGTAATTGCCCGGCACTATTTTAGATATGTGTTCACTAGCACAAAATAAACAAAAAAGTTCATATTAATATATATCTTCAACTCATTTATTAAACAGATATCAAAGGCTAAATCATTATTATTCATTTACTACATTAAGACTGACTGTACAAAGTTTAACGTATTTAATACTAAATAACAGGTTTTAATCACCTGATAAACAAATGAACGATAAGCAATGACAGTAGTTGCTCATCTGTTTGTCTAGTTCTGTGTGTTTTAGTGTGAGTGAATACTGTGACACAGTTCAATTTACGATTATCATGTGAGATAACATAAATTTATTCACTTTCGCAAAACAAACGGAAATGTTTTTAACTTATAGCGAGGTATATATGGGAGAAATTCTCCCATGATAATCATAAATTGAACTGTGTCACAGTATTCACTCACACTATAACATACAAAACTAGACAAACAGATGAGCAACTACTTCCCTAGTTTATCGTTCATTTGTTTATTAGGTGATTAAAACCTGTTATTTAGTATTAAACACGTTAAACGTTGTACAGTCAATCTTAATAAATGATGTCTAATAATAATGATATCTCTTTAATAAATGAGTTTGAGATATATGCTAATATGATTTTTTTTGTTTTATTTTGTGTTAGTTAACACATACCTAAAATAGTGCCGTGTAATTACGAAAAACTCTGTATATGTATATATATATATATATATATATATATATATATATATATATATATATATATATTATATATATATATATATATATATATATATATAAGTCCAAAATTGATATACATATACTTAAAAGATCAGTTTGTTTGAGTATTTTCAATTTTTATATAGAATAAGAAAATACAAAGTTCTAAAGAGTTTAAGAGCTTAAGACAGCAAAAAAATGTAATAACATCTAGTCGTCTCAACTAAAATAGTTCCAATTTTATTAAATTATATTTTATTTATTTATTGCAAATTTTGAACATTGAATTAAATTTGCAATCTGCAAATTTCTTTGCAATGATCAAATTTGTTGGTTGCTTCATGAAAACACATTTTCTTTCCAATTGAATCGTAAGATAATTTGATACCAAAATACATAAAAAAGGTTGACTACTAAAATTTGGGCCGTTTGGCCTACATAACCTTGTTATTTTTTCATGATGGTGGCCTAACGCCCCTATATGGACGTAGGCCACATTTTTTCACGATTTTGTGGTGAAATATATAATAATAATAATAAACAGGCTTAGCTGTTTATTATCGAACCCGAAGGTTCGATGCCGACACCACCAATCGCTTATTACACACCTCCCTCCACAGTTCGCCGTCCAGACCCAGTCCCTTCAGATCGGCTTTAATTCAATCTTCCTACCTTCGCTTCGGTCTGCCCTTCGGACGCTTACCATTCGGCACAGCAAATATTAACCTTTTAGGAATTCTCTCGTTACCAAGTCCAACAACTTTACAAGCCCATTTGATTCGCCGCGATGAAATTACCTCAATTATATTATCCGGATACAGCTCACGCAATTCGGTGTTGTGTAACTTTCTGAACTCTCCGGTTAACTCATCCTTCTTCGGTCCGAATATTCTACTCAATACTTTATTTTCAAAAACCTTAAGACGCTGCTCATCTTTTAATGTAAGCGGCCAATAAAAATATATACATATTTTTATATATATTATATTATATTATATTTTATATATATTATATTATATTTTTATATATTATATTATAGGTGGAATATACACATATTTTTTTTTACAGACATAGCGACTACAAGAGGAGTTATTCGGGAAGCTGTTCCAGTTTTCATTCTGTTGCTGGCAGGATCATGGAGAGACGCGACGGGACTAAACAAGCCTTTGATGTACTCCGCGCTCGTCGGGGAAATCGTCGGAGTTTTCGTCCAGCTCTTGGCGACCTGGAAGTGGTCGATGTCCATTTGGACGGCCTCCATCGCCGAAGCCGTCCTCTACGGAGCATCCGGAGGCAGCAAACTCTTCTACGTAGCAGCAACGTGCGCTGTAACTGATCAATCGAACGATGACCAGAGGACTACTAGGTTAAGAATTATTTACATATAGAAAACCTTTACATGAATTTGAAGGATTTTATGATTATTTTATTTTAATTAGGTATATATTAATACATTATCTTATTAAATACAAAAAGTATCGAAATATTTAATGCAGAAATTCGAACATTTTGGTTATGCTTTAATCTCATTTTTGGTTTATTGTTTCCAATAATCAACCTTTATAGTCGACCAAGAAAAACAAGTTTACCACCCTTCAAAACGAGATTTTTTTTTTTTAGATTACGTAGAAGCTGCCCGCGACTTTTCTCCAGAACTACCGGACCAATTGTTTTGCGATTTGGTATCAATACCAAAGGGCACCAGAGGATTATCCTCGGACCACGGCATTATCATTCGAGATTTCCTTTCATGATGGCGGCTGAAAAACGTCTATTGCTTACAGACTGTAGCGCCTAAACGAATATACCGATTTCAATAAAACTTGGATAAAGTATTCTCCTTGAAGCCCTTTATATTTACGCTATAACATCCTTTACCGAAAAAGAAACTGGAAAAAACTTGCTAGGGGTGGTAAAATAAGATATCCGAATAACCCAAAAAGTAAAGACTTTTTTGTTTTACCCTTTAGTTTTCGAAAAGTCTTACACAACTTCAGCATGCGATATTGTTATCTATATATCTTAGAAGATTACTTATGATGAAAAAACAATTATATGGGTTAATTTTATTAATCACCTTTTATTTATTTTCTTCTTTGTGACAAGGGATGTAGTGTTATATACAATATCTAAACGTTTGTAAATAATAATTTGCTATTAAAAGGTAATGAAGGCCTGATGACGAAGATTCATACTTACCGTAGTGCCAAACCGTGTTTTGTTTTTTTAGAGGGATCATAAAAATTACGATGGTTTGTACTTTAGGGTTAACTCGTCGTTTTCTGAGTTTAAGATAGGCATCTGATCTGAATCATTAATTTATTAATTACTTATATTTTTTATAATATTAAAATCTTAATATTATACCCTTTTTTAGGTTAGCATTTTACCAAGTGGCAGCTTACGCGGGTTCTTGCCTGTCCAGTGGACTATCGGGCTACAGCCTCCATTTTCTTGGCTACCTGTGGTTCTTTATCATGGTCATATCTCTACACGTGCTCACTATTGTACTAGTAATATTCTCGAAAGAAGCCGAAAACCGACTGAAAAAAGACGAAAAAGCGAAAATATTCCAAAAATTGAAAGCCATAACCAAATCACGACCAAATAACTTGGTGGTTTGGCTTATGCTTATCAGTTGTGTTATCATCAACGTCTGTGCCTCAGGTAAATAATAATAATATTAATAATGATATTGATTATTTTTGTTATATTTTTATCTTGCAACAATGTTTTTGTATTTCAAACTCGAAACTTGGTTGATTTTTATTAATTGGTTAATAATTATGAACTAATTGGCCCATGCGAAAAATTCGCAGACAATTTTTTTTAGTGAAGAAATAGCAAAACAATATGGAAGTAAGTAGTTCCTATGTATTATTTAAGGAAGGAATTAATATTTTTTCCTTAGTCGATTACAATATTCTATTAAACATGATAGACCAAAATATTTGTACAAATCCCTTTGCTAGGACTTATTTTTAGACGCATGGGGCTCCACCAAGCCTTCAAATTCCTCTCGCATACAGTCCTTGCAATCCAAAATCCTTCGTAAAATCCTCAATGCTCCTTACTTTGTTACAAATAAAATTATCCATAATGACCTTAATGTTCCTTATGTATCAGATTTGGCCCAATCCAGATATCTGTCCTTCCATAATAAACTTCATAACCATCCCAACCCTCTTGTCTCTAACCTTGCTTCCTATTCGATTCCTGATAACCCTCCGAGGCGTCTGAAAAGAAGATGGCCACGTGATCTTCTAATATAGACATATTATTAGAGTGCTACCAATGGGTATTTTCTCAACATGTGTTCCATGTCTTTATACCAATGTGCAAATTTACTAGATGTATTTTTTTTGTATACAGTTGTAAATATCATTTAAAATAAACAAAAAAAAAAAAAAAAAATTTTAGACGCTGACTGAAACATAAAAGTAATACAGACAAAATAATGCCCCGATCATAGAATATTTTTAATTATTAAAAAAAGTAAAATTCAAAAACAACCAAATCTTTTTAAGAAAAAATAAAGTTAATCTAAAATCCAGAAGAAAAAAAAATTAGTATACTATTCTCCTAAATGCGATAACTTTAAACAGGAATACATTATTAGGTATACCAAAACTAATGGAATGTATTTTTGTTCGATTTTTACGACTTTTTTTTGTTGTGTAGATAATTCAGTAATCTTTCTAATTATCATGGGTACAATCCAGAAAAAAATGCATACTTTTTGAGTTATCCGCAGATAAAGTTTCTTTTCCTCTATATTTTTTTTCTAGGAATATCGGAGGGATTGGACTATTTTTCGTATGTGAAGGAGAAGAATATCTTCTAAATGAGTGGTCAATCATTGGATTTGATGAAGAATTGACACGAAGTTATGGCGTACCTACAAAAAAACACCTTTTAGAAATAATATATAGGATTATAATGATCCCGGACTATAGTAAACTATTAATGGCATTAGGAGGAATGTTAGAGGAATTAGGAACAAAAGGCCTCTCTAAAAAAAACTAAACAACATAAAATTACATCATGTTTCAGCGGTTATTAGGTAGTGTGCTAGCTCAATGGTAAGATACTGAGTTAAGAATGCTAAAGGTCCCAGGTTCGAATCCCGGCTCATATCAAACAAGTTATTTATTCTGTGGCGGTTAAGCGTGATCTTGGTCAAATCACCTCCTTGCACATCCGTAGGAAAGAGTACTTTGATGAACCCAAGACCCTTCATGGGTTGTAGTGGTACCGGTTTTTTTTTTTTTTTTTATTATTATTTTTTTTTTATTTATTTATTTTTTTTTTTTTTATTTATTTTTTTTTTTTTTTAGCGTTCATTACGATTTTGATCCTCAAATGAATTTGTAAAACAGTTCATACAATTTTCATGTCGAGATATCCTGAATATTATGAACTCAGTAAGAGAAGACAGCTGACATATTTTAACTATGATTTTTATTTTACTACGAATAGGTCAATATTATGTATTTATCTAATTGATAGTAAAATAATAATGGATGATAGGTGGTAGTCAAGAGTAATAATAAATTAAAATAAACAAGTGCAGGCCCTACTCGACTACTTAGACCACTACTGTGCGGGTTCGATTCCCACATGGAAACAGTAACGTCCCCACCCTTAGATTCATAGAGAGGTTAGCGACCCCTGTGTCTTACACTTTAGCTGCAGGTCCTCCTTATTGTCCAAGTTGCGAGTTGGGTATAGGGCTGATAATTCCCTATCTCATAAAAAAACTGGACGGAAGATAAAAGCAGAAAATTTCTCAACCATCCTTCAGGAAAGTAAATCATGTGCTCCCTGGATATCTCCAAGAAGAGAGAACCGAACGATCACTATTGTCTCCTATAACAACCTCAAGCTGCACGAAGAAGACTCATGACTTAAAAGTCAACAAGCGTAGGAGAAAATGAAAAAATGTAGATATTCAAGACGCACTCAGTCTATCACACTAGCGGATCAAGGGTTTAATTTTTTTCTGGGGGGGGGGAGGCTTCAGTCCGAAAACTTTTTTTATAAATATGTCGATTCGACTTATGGTCTACAAATATATGGAATTGCAAAACCAACACACACAAAATGACTTCAAACTTTTCAGTCTAAGATACTACGACTAATTACCCAAGCACTATGGTACGTGAATAATAACATTTTACACTTTCCAATTTAATGAACACATACGAAGTTATTACAAACGATTTCATAATAAATTACATGGACACTCCAACCAGCTAATTAAAGAAATGGCCACAACTATTATACCGGAGAACTCCAGAAGATGGCTGAAAAAGGTCTGGATGAGGGACCTACTTACGGAATTACATAAGTAAGGAAGGTATGAAGCTGGATATTGCTTTTCCTCATGCCAATCAAGCCTTTTTTATTTATTTTTTTCCTTATTTACCAGATCATTTTCTGATTGTCGATGGTTTTAATTGACAGGTGCGGATTAATAAATGAAAGTGCTATAAAAAAAAAGATATATGATAATTATTAGGATTCTTGAAATCCTATTAAATCTAATTACATGAAAAATAATACTCTTAAAGATAATGTTTTTATATTTCTCTCATAAAATATGGTTATATTTTACCATTTTGGGGAGAGTTTCAGCCAGAAAGAATGCTCCCTCCCCCTATCGTATATCCGACTGTGGTCTATCACTAATGATGTGTATAACAATTGACACTTCCTTAAATAAAAATTATAAGTGGTTTTCAAGATATTCAGTAAACTTAAGTCTTTAAACAGCGCTTTAAAAAGTTGAAATCCATGTGTATTTCTGCAATTTATTCTCATCTGCTTATTGATATTTCCTTATGGATCCTCTTTAGGCTCCAACTCACCTCTGTAATTTCAGCTAAAAACCTTAGAAAATCAGAAACTCTTCTGGAACAATCATATTTTCTGAATTACCCGAAAATCCATTACTATCCTTAAGCAACTCATTAGATTCCATGGTTCTATTTCTCAAAAAACCAGGGAGCTCTTTGAACACTCACTCATTTCTCAACACTTCCACTACAGTTGCTTGGTGTACAGAGTTATCTGCAGAACTGGAGGTTAGACTGAATAGACACCAATATCGCTTAATTTGATTTATCTTTTGAGATGTACAGGTATTCTCATGTTTCCAGCAGGTACACCAAGTTGAAGTTGCTCTACCCTAATTCCCGACAGCAATTCTTTCTTGGTGTTTTCCTTTCTCAGAATCAAAAATTCTCAGTTTCCTTTTCCAAGTCCTCAGAATCAAAAATCCCCACTACATCATAGAACTCTTAACTCTACATCCCTCTATTCACTCACTTAATACTAGATCTCAATTTACAGATCTGCAGGATGTTTCAGGGTTTAATAGAAAATTTCAAAAGTTAACTAAGGACCTCAAAACAAGAAAAACTTTTCCTTAACATTTAATTAATAAAGTATTTAGAACAAATAAATAGGTTTTATTTATTTCATATAACGTAAATGATTCATAACAACGAAAATCTTTAGGTGTGTACATCTCTAAAACAAAAAGCTTTTGCGGACACACCATCAGAGGAAATTTTTTTCTTGTTTTGAAGCCCTTAGTTAATTTTTTCATTTTGGCCATTTAACCCTGAAACACCCTGCATATACCCCTTCCTATAAAACCACTTCCTTCAGCAAATCCTTGGTTAGTCCTACCTTCTTTTCTAATGTCCTACCTATCACATAAATATTCCACCGCCTACTTGATATTCAATCTTTTGTAATCATGTCAGAATTTTCTAATTACAATTGCTTATCAACAGATATTTGACAAGTACGATTTTTTTTTTTTTTGGAAATTTTTTTTATTTCTACATGTCAGACTAATGTAAATATATTTTGAGGCTTGTTATTATTCTTAGAGGACTTAAGTCCTTGTAACAGTAACAGTAAAAACAATAACTGATATTTTTTTTTTTCTTATTTTGCAGCGGAAAGCAACTTGTACCTCTACTACTTGCAGCTGACATTTGACTTCACAGTCAAAGAAGCTGGACTTTACTCTGCGTTCCGTCTAATGTTCGGTGTAGTGAGTGAGTATATTTGAAATATTTAAAATTAAAATTCCATATTCCATTAATAAATTTAAGTATATAGTTATTTACTTATTTTTTTTTTACTGTTTAAGGTACGATGATCCTATCACCTGTGTTCACCAAAGTCTTAAAATGGTCTGACTTCAGAATCGGTATTTTGAGTTCATTCATAACTTTAATAGCGACTACTTCAATGATATTCGCAAGGACAATAGTACATTTAATTGTATGTAAGTAAACTTTGCATTATTTTATACCAATTAATGAATGTTTTAAGTTTAATTGACACTGAAACAATAAAAAAGAATTGTTTTAATATCTAATTTTAATTTTGTTTTTCTTTTCAGTTGCTTTATTAGATTTTTTGAAAATATTTGTCTATACGTTGCCAATGTCAATAGTGACAAAGTGTGTGAAGAGTGATGAAGTAGGTAAGTAATTCAGTCTTACTTATACGATTATTAAATCTGTTTCCAGGGGTTATAAAAGGACACCATGTCCATTTTTTATTTTAGTAACTAAGAAACAAATTTTAATAGCTCAAAGTTATGGAAATTTGATTCATCTAAATAAATATATATACATATCTTAATCCAGCCTTGCTGCACTAGAAAATCAAAATAGGAAAATTTTGCATTGTAGGTTCTTCTTCAAATATAATAAACAAAACTAAGCAGTATTTATTAATGAAAATTGTATTATTATGTTGGTTTTGTTTGTGTACCTATAAAAAATTCAAAACTTTTTTGTTTGAAAAAGTTGAAATGTGTTTATTTTTGACATAGGAATATTTGTGAGCTTGCGTTTCATTGGAGGATGTCTGTCACCAATGTTCGTTTTCTATCTTTATGATATTATATTTTCTGCAACTTCACATAAAATGCCTGGAGCATTCTTCATTGCTAGTGCCTCCATTACGCTACTTGTCTTCTTGAGTTTCTGGTAATTATTACTATAATAATAAACTTAATGATATTATATTTATAAATTATTTGAATATTGTATTGTAGTGTATAATTTATTATTTGATATCTATCTTCTAATTATATTAAATTTTACTCATAATTTAACAGTATTACTGATCCATCTATATATATTATTTTTAGGATAAGTTCCTGTATCTACACAGAACCTGTCGTATTATTACAAAATAATTCCACGATTGACAGTGATGCTGAAAAACGTAAAAGTGATGAGATATCAGAAAATAACGGATTTATCGAAAAAGCATTACCAGCAGCGTAATTCTTGGTAATATGCTTGAAAAAAAAATTTTAATTCAACTTATTAGGGAAAGGCGTGGTAAGATGGTGTTAAGTTTTGCAATTTTTCCTGGCCACGGTGAATAGATTTAAGAACTGAAATTTTTATAAGAACTTTTTCAACATCTTACTTAATACCACAAAGTTTTTTAATTGCCTGTGTTATATTCAAAGGAATGAAACTCGAGTTTTCCCAAAAATTGTTATTTTTTTCATCTTAATAGCTACTGGGAAGGATTAGAAAATGACAAGGGATTTTAAAGAATCATAAGAAACTACTTAAACAAAAACCTCTATTAAACTTTATTAACATATCACTTAAACGAGAAATATAATACTGTGAAAGGAACCACAAACTGTTGTTAAATTATACAAAAAGTCACATTTATAGGTCCTGTGAATGGCATCTCTCTCATTCTGTGTGTTCCACTTGGAACACACAGAATAAGCCCTCTTGAAGCCCTGTTACCATGGCTCATCCATATCTTCTTCCGAGCACAATATGCAGAATTCGTCTTCTTTCTTCCTTACGGCAGTTTGACCATTCTAACATTTATCGGTTACCGCAACTATTGTTAAATGAATGGGTTTCCTATGAGTTTGTGGTATGGAGGTGTACATTCAAAATATTTTATTGAGAAAGATAAAAAACTTGTCTTAGACTATTTCCTTGCATGTTCAGATTCAAAGATTTCTCCAAAGTGTTCTGTATCAGAACTTCTGGTCACAACTTTATCTTTCATCTTTCCCATTTATCATCTTACCAGGCATTCTCCTACTTTAAATCTTACTTATATACTTAGTTCATAAATTTACTTTTTTACTTAAATCTGATCTTATGGACTAAATAAATTATAAACTAATCTTTTGTTTCAGATCATACCAAAACAACTTCAAACGTATAATAATTGAAACGATATACCTCGATAAAAACCAATATTAATAAAAAGCAAAAAATATAATTTAATAATTTTGTAAATAGAATAAATAATTTATATATTATCACTGCCTATTTTACTTTTTTTTTATCCCAAAAAAAATTATAAATAAATGGGCTCTCTAATCAAAAATTGCTCTGAAAATAGCCTCAGTATTCATTAATTAAATTCAGTGGAATAACTCGACCTATTGTAGCCAAGGAAAGATTTATATTTCAAACAAAATAGAAAGTAAAAAAAAATATTTAGAATTAAAAAGTATTGTTTCAACTTTTTAATCAATTTCAATCTTCATGTTTTTACAGCTGAATAAAGATGTATGACGTTCCCGTAAAAAACTCATATAATTAAAAAATATATGTAGATTTCTAAGTTCTATGCTTCAGCTGTTTAATACAATCTTATTCTTAGTAAGTAGATTAATTAAATAAATCTCCAAAGAAAAAATTTTGCTACAAAAAAGGTTTAGTCAGATTGAGGTTATTTTTAAAATTTTTTTTGAGAACAAATGTCTCTTAATTTAAAAAACAAAATGTACAGTTAAGAAGATCCCTTCCTTTGTAAGTAATAAGGAAAATAATAATAAAGAATGAAGCAGATGTTAAAAGACCATATTTATTTTATTTTTAATATTAACACTAATAGCAAAACTTTAACAATATTTTATTTTAATTTCTAACTTTTTTTATATTGGTGAGAAATTTGATAAAGGGAAATGAATTTAGCTTATAGTTCAAGAATGTCAGAGAGAAGAAATGTTTGTTTTTAATATAATCTAGGTCGATCACAAACAATACTTCAAAAGTAGGCCAAGATGGATTCATTACTTACAGTAGTGCAATAAAATAAAATTCTACTTCTGCAAATAGTGATATCTTTTGTATTACCAATTGATTGTCAATATCAATACTTGAGGGTGTGGCTCAAAAAAAGGGGTTCATTTTCCAAAAATTATATTTGAGCTATGAATGTTCAAGTTATGCATTATATTTTATTGGTAATATATTATTATTTTCATTTTATATCTTTTTGTCGACTCTTTAGTAGGATCATACGAATAAATAGTCAATTGATTATATTTTTATTGTTTCAATTGCATTGTACCTACAATTTCCAGAAGGCCTTGGTATTGTGTGTTCTCATAATTTCATAAAAGTGAAGCAGTAATAAGGAACAATAAAGTAATAGACTTTAAAAAAATGATGGATAAATAATAAATAATGATATAATAATATTGTATATCTTCAAATACTACATCCATAAGGAAGATTTATGCAAGCTTAAGTAATGCATGAAAATAGTATAATTATTGATGTATTAATGTCTGTGTTTACACACAATTTACACAGTACCAGTTCCTATTACAAAAAGAAGCCTTGAGCCCTGACTCAAGCTTTGACTCGAGCCTTAAAGACTAGAGTCTTGAAAGCTTGGCTCTAGAGCCATTGGACCTTTAACCTTCAAGGTTCGAGCCTTGATGAACTTATCTTTAGAAAAAAAAAAAATTAAATTATTGTAGTTCTGTACATTTTAGAAAAAAAATATATATTTTTTTCTGTAGTTGGTAACAATGTGAATATAATGTATATTTATTATTTTTCTGTTGGTACTAACAATTTGAATATATTTCCGAAATATAATATGAATAAATAGATTTTAAAAAAACAGGTAAGGCTCGAACTGTGATTTGAACCTCTAATGCTGAGCTCTTAGGACTCAAGCATTGGCTGAGTCGAGAAAACCAGATCCTTTTGGATTCAAGCCTTATAGTTTTTTAACCAAGCTCTTTTACAGCACGAAGTTGATGAGCCTTCTTTTATCTTAGTTTGTCCAGTGGCAATACACTAATATAAAGGATCATCAATGATAATTTTATAACTTTAAATCAGTAAGCATTTTGATAATTTTTTCCCATTTTATTTTACTATGTTTTTATCAATAAATAAGATCGGAATTCACAAAAACATTCTTAAAAGTTCAGCACCATCAAAAGACCAATTAATTGTGGGTTGATGGTTGACCATAGTGAAAAATTGAAGAAAGGATGGTTGAGGATGATCAGTTAAAATAAAAAATAACAAAAATAAATATTATTAAATACTCTTCAAAAAAGTAATTAGTGTCTTTAAACAATAAACCAACCTTTATTCTATTCTATTCTATAGGATGCAAAGAATGATTGACCTAAACAATAGAATTTATTTCAGTTAAAACTATAATTCGAGTAACTGCCAAAGACGTAATACTACTAATTAACATCATGTAGAACAGTTTACTCTATTATAAAAATTCTAAAACAATTTAAAAAGTTCATTAATGAACATATGGGGAAAAACAAGTAAGATTCAAGCCGCTACTCGAGCCTTCTACCGCCGAGTTCTTAAGACTCGAGTCTTGACCGAATTGGGAAAGCTCTTTTCAGCTCAAGTCTTATAGTCTTTTGACCAAGCTCTTTTACAACACTACTACCTGTAAATAATGTAAATGATGATAATTAACTCTAGAAGGACACACTGGTGTGTGATACACCTCACAGAATTTTCAACATTAATTTACTTTTATATAAATAGTTCTTTTGCCAATTTTTTTCATGTAAATTAACATACATAGCTAGGATAATTACGGTCATTAACACTCCATCGTGTGGCTTATATCATTATTGGGATTTATTGAAAGTCATTATAGGGTATCCTATACCATAGTGTGTTGTTATGTAACTGTTCTGTGAATTTTGTATCCTAGTGTTTTCTTTAATATTTTGAAACTTCAAATAATTCAGGTGTGAATTTCTTATGTTATACTTGTTAATTAGTGTTATTTTCAAATTCATACAGTAATGTACAGAAACTATTATTTTAGTATGGCAACTACCAAGAAAATGTATTCATCTCCTGAAAAAATCCATAAATTGTTATGGAAGTCAGATGTTGAAAAAAATATGCATGAAGCATATTAAATAAAGATGGCACAGTAACTTTTGATCAAATGTGTCATGTGGGTTAGTTACAAGTGGGAGAGGCTGTCTCTCCGATTTTTCTTTGGAATGTTGAACCATGGTATAAACAGCATGATATTGTTCAGCTTAGTTAATTGGGAAAAGAAGATGAAATGGAGAAATTATTTATTTGGGTTAGGCTATCCGTTACTTCAGCCCTGTTTGAAAAGAAAAGTGCAAGTGGAGACACTCACACAAACGGTGTGTTACAACATAAATGAAACTTTGGAAATAAAAAAACAAATTACTACTGTTGGAAAAACAAGTCAAATATTTGTTTGCACTAGAGAGAAAGACAAAAATGGTTCGTCAGCAATGTAAGAGACCTATCTGCAATGAACACAGGGCGACAGTTTGCTTGGATTTTGTAAGTGAGTTGTCACATAAATGGGCTCCACTATAGGTTTTATTATCTTTTTAATTAAAAAAATATTTTCTTCATACATTATGTATATATTTCACATTCTAAATATATATATTTAATTGATATAAACTTAATGTATTTTCAATAGAAAAATACTGATTCTCTTTTTGATTTTTTGGTGATGTAAATGTTAACTTTTTACTTTATGTTAGCATATAAAACATATTCTCTTCAGGTACCTTGATTTTATTTATTTTTTTTGTTTTCCTGATTGTTTAGCTTATTTCTGAAAAGTATTTTGGTGTTCCAGAGCATGAAAAATAAATTTCATCAAGTATCAAATGAATGAGTATCAAAATGAATTGACATATTTAAGTGTGTCATTCTAAGGTTAAATAGCAATAAAATTATACAAAAGTAACATTAACATATAAAAAAACAATTCTTACAAAGATATATAAAATTGATAGATGAAGAGCTGTAGAAATAATGGAAGGTAAAAATAAATTAATTTGAGAAGTAGCTAAGAAATTCTTAAGTAGCATGCACAATAAAGAATTTTTTGAAGGAAGAAATTCTTTGAGCAGAGATATACAGGTTTGTGGCTTAGTAATTAGTGTTTACAGAGAGAGAAAAAACAACAAGAAGAGAACAAACTAATAAAAAGGCTTTTTGATTTTAACGATTTTGAA